GATGACAGGTATTGCTCATGGCAGGCACCTGGCACAGCTTTAGAGGAGATGGGGCACTGCAGTTCAACCTCAGGCACTTCCTGATTGGTCTGGAAGGTTGCCTTTGAATGTCAGAGTAATTATTATGTGCCTTGTTTGGAAACTGAAGTATTTAAATTAAAGTTTGACTGGCATGAGTTGCAGTTGCCATTATTGTGATTAGAATGTCAACTCTTGAAATGAAATTATTCAAATAATTATGAAGAAAAGTCTGCTGGACTGCAAGTGCCACACAAATGTACGTTAATATATTTTAAAATGTAATTTATTCCTGTGAAGGCGAATCTGAATTTTCAGCAGCCATTACTCCAGTCTTCAGTGTCACATGATCCTTCAGAAATCATTCTCAAAAACTACCCTTACCAAAAAGTAGTATACTTCAAGTTTATTTTTATTAAGTATACTTAAGTAAAGTTCAAGTATATTTTTAAGTATACTTTATGTAGCAAGTACAAATATCAGTGTACTAGTAGTATACTTGTAAGTGTACTATTTCAGTACTCCTTGGGACTAAATTGGCCCACTTTCTAGTATATAAAAGTATACTTTTAAGTATACGTTAAGTATAACAGTAGTACACTTTAAGTACACAACTAGTTTACATCAATATTTTTAGCTTGTACTGCAACTATACTAAAAGTGAACTTATAGGTATACTGATTTTTAGTAAACCTATATAGTATAGTATAGTATAGTATAGTATAGTCTCAGTAAACTACTAGTTTAGTAGTTTTATACTGCAAGTATACTCGTAAGTTTTCTTTAAGTGAACTTTACATCATACTTTAAGTATACTACTATGTCCTAATTTAGGTATTAATTTGTATATATTTTGTTATATAAATATCTGAACATACAAAACACCAAAAGAAAGAACAGGGTATCTGTATGAATTGGATTCAGAATGATAATCAAAACGTAGATAGAGTCGATCAACACCCCAAAGCTTGACAGTCATTACTACCTCTTCATTGGTCGACCTTACATCAACTTTACACAGTTTTGATGCTGTTTTATGTCTGATGATCATGTTAGAATACATGTGGAAGCATCTGTTGTTTCGGTTTCTTCTTCACTTGTGTTTTTTGCAAATTCTGTAGAGAAAATGTGTACTAGTGCCCCCTAAATTATAACAATGAAAACATGAATTCTAGGAGCACAAGTATAGCTCAAATATATTTTGACTTTTTCTAAGTAGGCTATAAGTCAAGTATACTTAAATGTCAGTTTAAGTATATTTCTGAGAAGTAGACTAAAAGTATACTTTCCTATTTTTTAGTTTAAAAGAAGTATACTAATAGCACACTTGAATGAACTTCTTTTTCGTAAGGGTATTCATGTTGAAAGCAGTTGTGCTGCTTTTTTTTTGTGGTAATGTGGAAATGTTTTTCCTCAGGGTTCTTTGATTAATAATGTACAAAAGAACAGCATTTATTTGAAATAGAAACTTTTTTTGTTACATTATAAATGTATTTACTGTCCCCTTTGATCAATTTAATGAATTGAAAATATTTAAAGAAAAGGTCTTATTTACTCCAGACTTTTGAACAGTAGTGTATGCACGTAAAGTTATGTCTCAGTCCTTCACTGTTGTTGGTGATCTCTTATCAACCATGTTCTCAGAGTTGTGGCCTGGACAGCTGTTGCTTGATAGTCTTGGACATTAGACTCCCAAATAACAGATAAAGCTGAATAAGATGACTCTGGTCTGAGGACACCTGTGTGTTGAAACTAAATCCATGTTTTCTTATCAGTAGGATGTCTTTTTGTTACTCTAGGCTTTCCTTACTGAACTTATTCCCTCTTCATGTCACAGTCTCATACTAGGGTGATTTTATCAGAGATTCAGATTATTTCACCTGCAGGCATTCTCTATCTAGGCTAAAAATTGGCTATTTAAGTGTAGATTTTTGTAGTTGGCCAGATAATATATTTAACATATATATCTATCTTTATAGTTAGATATAGTTAATAGATACACTAGATATATTTCACCAAAAAATGTAAATAGTTTACTTCAAGCATATTTTTTTCTTTTGTGAAACAGAGAGCATTTTTTTGTGCTGCTCTGTTCCATAAAATTAAAGTGAAAGCAGAGGCTGTCAAACTCCCAAAAGATAAGACATCAAAATAAAAGTAACATTAATTGGTTCATATGACTACTGTGCTATTTTCCATATCTATTGTAGACTTGATTTATAGTGCATGTTTTTCATTTTTCTATCTTTATTTATTTATTTATTTTTATTTTTTTGGAGCTTGACTGACCCTGATCTTACATTTGCTTTCATTGTTTAAAAAAGAGCAGCATGAACACTTATCACCTTTTGCGTTCTTCTGAAGAAAAAAGTTTTACAGGTTTGGAACAACATGAGGGTGAATAAATGATGACAGAACTTCCATTTCTGGGTGGACTATCCCTGTAATCGTAGAAACGTCAATTGCACAAATGTGTCATTAAGTTAATTACTTTTAATTCATCATAACACCTGGCTTTTTCATTTAAAGATTTATCACCATACATCTGCATCTGTTATCTCTGTTCAGCATCCACGTGAATCACATTTCCACGTGTTAAATTCGTACTAATATAATACTGAAAGCCCAGGGGAAAATCCAATTCATTATCTTCAGACTTAACTTATTATAGAGGTCACCACATTTATCAAAGGTGTGTCAAAACATACTTAAATTGTTTGTTGACATTCCCAGTTGACGAACAGCTTGTGGGACCAATCTGCAGCTAAAAACGAAAACCGATATGTACTTCTGTGCTCCTTTTCAATACCGCCTTTTAGACCTTCAGCGGTGAAAAGGATCACTTTGAGGAAACCTGATGCTCTCTAACATGGCTGTGCTGTGCCACGCTACATTGTCTGAGAGGTCAGGAGCTACACAGCAACAGGAGCTCAAGGCTGCCCAGTGTCGGTCTGTTTAATCATTTTTCTGAAACCAGCATGGCTAACACAATAAACATGAGGAAATCTGTTTTTCCCGCCTTAGACGGGAAAACCATTAAAATCCTACTGGACATGTATAACTTTAGGGACTCTTATCAGTTACTCTCTTTAACAGTAGTCTATACTAATACATTAATTGCACTGATTTGTATCAACTTTGAATGGATGCAGAGAAAAAAAAAGAAAATTGATTACTATTATTATTATTATTTTAGTTTTTATATAAAATACAGTTCTAAGGGTTTTGGTTTTTACACATCTGTGTTCACAGAGATATGCTGGGATTGTTGCTCTTGATTAAATGGGAATGACTTGCTAAATCAAAGGAAGGTCTAATCCTTATTAATGAACCACAGAAAGTACCAAAAAGTGGCTATGCTTTGAAGATGTGCTTTCTTGCCTTCCAGGTTCAGATTTGTAAGTGAATGAACTGATGGAGATGGGAAAAAAATGAAAAATGGCTACGTTGCTGCTGTTTGTCTTCATTTAATATTAAACGTCAAGGAGCTGTTTTGGTCTGGTATGCTGTAAATTTTAAGCAAATATCTCATGAAAAGAGTGCTCTGATTCGCTGATATACCTGATGACTAAGATATAATCTCATAAAGTTTACAGGGGTTGTTCTTTACAAGAAGAGTGGGGTCCATTTCAACAGTTTTTTGGTTGAAGGATATTTTTTACTTCATGTTGAAAGTAAATTGAATAGCTTTCTCATGCTAGGATTTATGAAGTCAGCTTTTTTCCCCCATAGGGAATTAAATTAGTGAGTTGTAAACAAAGTTAGAGAAATTGATTCACCAAAATGAATGGATTAATTACTGTCCGGCTCGCCATCTGACTTGCTGAAGAAAGCACACAAAGCGGTTTGGTCAAGCACTTCTGAAAAATGTGTAATCTGCCCCAGCTTTTGTTTCAGTAATGTTAACCACAGAGCTTTATGTTTAAGCCAAGTGCTTTTCTCCAGGCTTATTTTAGTCTATCAGACGGATTTTTGTTGAACAAGTATCGCTCCAAAAAAGCACCATAGATCCTTCTCATTTTTCAACCTTTGTAATAAAGCAATAAGCCCTGTGAAGCCGTGGTTTACAGTGAATTTATAACAGCTAAAGCGGAAGCGAAGCTGTTATAAATTCACTGTAAACCACATTTTCACGGGGTTTATTGCTTTTATAAAACAGTTATTCCATATACGTAGTAAGGTTTCACAGAATAAAACAGAGCAAATAAAGTGTAATGATATAAATAAAAAACAGTAATCTTCCACCAAACAATGTAGTTCCTCAGAATCAGTTGTGGTTCCAACAAAGTGGTTGCTGAGCAACACACAGAAGTAAACAAAGGTGTATGTTTGTAGAGTAATTTACAACAGCTTCAAACGTGGCTCAACCAATCAGAATCAAGGACCCGAACTATCCGTTTTATTAATTTTATTTTATTTAAATAAATGTGCATAGTGAAAATGAAATTTGATTATTTTGTACTTTTAAGTAAAAATGTTTAACTTTTTTTTTTAAGGCAAATGGTAATAGAATCTATTAAAAATATGCCACATGAACATTCTGTTCCATTAAATTTGATCACATTTAATAGACTATAAATATACAACTATCCATTTTGTGGTGTTCGTCAAAGATGTCATTGTGAGCATGGCATTCAGTAATTGAAAACAATAGATGAGTGTTTGTTCTGCTGCCAACAACCAAAGCGAACGGCTAAGAGGGTCACTGTTGCTGAGGGTCAGGACATTGGCAGACTGCTGACATTGTTATTGATATAATGAAGCACTTGCTGGAATAACAAGTATGCCTCTTTGTGTCCGGTGTTCTGGAGAGGGATAACACTGCTTTTGAACTGCTTTAATCCTATAGAGTTTCCTTTCTATCTTCAGCAGATGTCTCTTTAATCCCTTGTTAAACTTTATTTATTTGGTGCCTATAGTTAAGTTGTTTCGTATGGCCCTGGTTGTATGTTTTTTAATAAATGGTTATTTTGTTTCTTTAGGTGCCGTGTTGGATCTGGGTCCCTGCTCATGTGAGTTTTCCTCCAGCTATGGAACCCTGGCCTCTCATGGCCTGGGGCCTAATGCTGACCGCCATCATCAAAGCAGTTCAATCGAGGGACTTCACAGAAAAAGATATTATTTTTCTCCATCCCTCAAGTAAGTATTTCTTCTTAGATTCTGCCAAAGTCTTGAAAATGAAATAGATATAATCCATGTTTTTCCTGGGTCATCTGGAAGATCAAAAGGGTCAGACATCAGTTGTCAGTCATGACTTCTATAGAGCCTTTAAAGGCTGGTGTGGAGCTGCTAGACCTTCAGGCTCTGAATGCAGATTTATTCCAAATATGGTGTTCTAGATTTTATATTGTGTCCTAATAGTTGGCCTTCCAGGATGTATCAGTGGTTGAGCACCAAGCCAGTGATCCATAGCTAAACTCAGCGTCTCAGCTGACACACCAGCTGTGTTAAGATCCCCCACCCTGACACTCATGGATTGCCCACCATCCCTGCTGATGCTAAATCAATTGTTTAGAGCATGTGGCATTGGCCATGGCGCCATGGGTCAGAGTAGCCTTTTCTGCCCGAGATTTTTTGCTTCTTTGGGCCTCATTTGATTTGTGTCTTGAAATGCTTAAAATGGCTGTTGCGCTCATCAAATATATAGGTAAATGTTTCTAATAACATTCATCAAGTAATTAACAAAAATGAATGCATTATGTCATTTTAACAATATCCAAACAAATACTTAAACTATTGTTCAAAAGTTTGGTGTTGGTAAGTTTATTGTAATGTTTTTGAAAGAAGTCTCTTTTTCTCTTATTTGAAAATACAATAAAAAAGTACCATTACGAAATAGTATTACAATTTAAAATAATTGTTTTCTATTTGAACATATTAGTGTTGAAAATAGCTGGGCTGTTATATTTTTGTGGAAACCAAGATGCATTTTTTCAGGATTCTTTGATGAATAGAAATTAATTAATGTATTTACTTCAGATCAATTGATCAGTCTTTGACTTAAAACATATATAGATATATTTGGATATATACAAATATAAGTTGTATAATATAGTACATATGCACAACTTACATATAAATAAATACTTTAGAATGTATATTAGTGAAAGAAATAAGACTTTCCGAACATTTTCCATTTAGAAATGGAACCAGAATCATTACATTACTCATGGTTCCCATTCCTAATTTTCCTATATATATATATATTTGAATGTACTGATATTCTATGCATTACATGTTTGTCAATTACTTATATTGATAGTTACAATAATTTGTTACCAGTTCCTATTTACATATGTGATATCTCAGAATCAATTGGTTACATGTGGTAATGTTCACGTACAATTTGGCTATAATGAAAGAGACTAGAGGTTGGTTTCAGTTCTGTTGAGAGAATTAATCTCTGAAATTCCAAACTCTTTCATCACAGTGAGCAGGACCTCCCAAAATCCTTTTAGCTGTGTGCCGGCTCGCCAGTGTGCAGCTGGAGATATCCGTATCTGCTCAATGTCCCAGCGGGGATTGAGAGAGAGTGTGTGTGTGTGTGTGTGTGTGTGAGAGAGAGATAGAGGAGAGAGAGAGAGAGAGGGGGGGGTTAAAACAAATCAGTTCTTATGAGATCCCAAAATAGTTGTGTACCAGCAGCGATTTTGTGACCTGCCAACGTGATCTCATGATAATTCGTATGTATTTTACGTAAAATGTGGTTCTATAAAACGTACATTTACTTACGTATTTTCAGAATTTAAACGTACAAAACTGACGTATTGACGACACCTAAAAATGAATCCTTATGAATATTGAAATCGCGGCATTAATTTTATTAGTTTTTAGTTGTCATATTAATTACCTTGTTTTCAATTGCATTATTAAATTGTTTAACGTTACTCATTTACTTATGAAATGATAACATTTCGTTTTGTTGTGATTTCTGCTGCCAGCTCGTTTCCAAGAATATGCCTACATAATGTTAAACACTTCACTTTAAACCTTAAAATAAATAAATTTTCTGCAATCGTTTAACCTTTACTTGTCATGTAATGTTTACTTTGATTGCCATGGGCCACAAAAGGCGTTTTCTCCGACATGCTGTGACTGACAATAGACCTATAAAATACACCAAAAACGCAACATAATTAGGAAATGAAACTATTTTATTAGTGCGCTGTAATCCAAATCTTCAGAGTCCATACGACTGTGAAGAACAGACCCAAATCCAAGCCTTTTTTCGGCGATCTGCTTCTCCATCCCGAGCAGCGAGTCCAGTGACTGTGAGCAGCAAAG